CTGGGGGATCCTGTGAAAGTAAAATGATGGTTAAATTTCAAGATCAATGTCTTTTAAAATTGCAAATTGTCTCTGGGTATTTTGTGGAGGTCTGGCCAGAATGTTGTACAAGATGTGCACCATTTCAGCTAACCATGTTGGAACCGTCTTGTGCAGCTGGTACCCAAAACAGGTCTTGTAGTAGCGCTATCAGTATCATGACATCATCTCAACCAGGTAGAGTTGTTGTTATGGGGCCCCATCTTCTTCCTGGAAACTTCAAATGTCACTGCAGGAAAAACTCATTGTTCATTGTGGAAAACTTAAACAGTAATCATATAGACATATACAGACATACATGTATTCAATGAAAGGCATGATAGATATATTCAATGAAAAGTATGATAGATATGAAGAAAAGTAAAGATGTTTTCTAAACTCATATTTCTTTCTGTCCCATATCATGGCTCTTGACATGAGATAGAAACTCCAGAAACTCTGGGTTTTTCTTTTAACAACAGGCTTGGAATTAGAGAGGGACTGAGCCAGAGTCCAACTTCAAAACCAACTCTATAAATTTTGAAATATGATTTAGTATATTGTACTTACAGAATCTATTCAGTTTTCTTGATAGTCCCTATTGGGCCATTATTTTCCATCTGCCAGTATTCAAATATCCAGGGTCCCTTGAACTTTTCAAAGATCAGTGTTTTCCTGTGGAGATAAGAACAGAACCCTGCCCCCATTCTATATGTTTTTCTTACCACCTGTATGAATATCATCATTGTAGATGCGCTGTCATTTCTCCTTTCCAAGAGATTTCTCCTCTTCAAATCGAACCTTTATTAATTTTGATGGTATCCACAATTTTTCTTCTCCTGTGGAAACAGAGCAAAACCCCTTCCCCAACATAGCACATCTCCTGGCTTCCACTTAGAGGTCAGCACATCTTTGAAATAAACAGGTTGGTTTAGTTCAGAAGTTTTTTCCATTATCCAATGCCTCTCTGCTGCTGTTGTTCCTTTCTCATTAGCATTAAGAAAATTCAAGGTTAATAAAACATTATGCAATCTATTTCTGGGGGTATCTTTTGTCCCTTTCTGTTTGTTTAGCATATCCTTTATAGTACGATTTGATCTTTCTATAACTGCCTGACCTGTAGGATTATTTGGTATACCTGTAACGTGTTTTATATTATAATAAACAGAAAAGCATTTCATTTTCTTAGATACATATGCTGGACCATTGTCTGTCTTTATTTGTGCAGGTATACCCATGATGGCCATAACTTCCAATAAATGTTTGATTACCGAATCAGCCTTTTCTGAGCTCAGGACAGTTGCCCATTGAAAACCTGAATACGTGTCTATGGTGTGGTGTACATATTTTAATTTACCAAATTCCATAAAGTGGAACACATCCATCTGCCAGATTTCATTCCTTTGAGTACCCTTTGGGTTACTCCCTGCAGGCAACGGTGTTTGATTATAGAAAGAACAAGTAGGACATCTCTTTATAATGTCCTTAGCTTGTTGCCATGTAATGGAAAACTCTTTCTTTAAGCCTTTACTATTGACGTGATGTTTTTTATGAAATTCTGAGGCCTGCAGAACGCTTCCAATCAATAATTGGTCAATTTCAGCATTACCTTGTGCTAGAGGGCAAGGCAGACCGGTATGGGATCGGATGTGTGTTATGTACATTGGACAAAGCCTATTCCTAATTATGTCCTGTACCTGGATAAACAATGAAGTCAACTCTGTTTCATCGTATGAATTCAGTGATTTCAATATGCAAGATAACTCTTTCTGCATATTGTGAATCTGTAACTATATTAAGAGGTTCTTTAAAATCCCTTAGCACCATAAGAATGGCATATAATTCTGCCTTCTGGATAGAATTATAAGGGCTTTGTTCTACCTTACTCAATTCTTCCGATTTATAACCTGCTTTCCCTGATTTATTTGCATCAGTATAAAATGTCCGGGCTCCAGTTATTGGAGCATCACATACAATTCTAGGAAGAATCCAAGAAGTTCTCTTTATGAGGTTAAGTCTATCACGTTTTGGATAGTTGCTGTTAATTTCTTCCAAAAAATTAGCACAAGCTCTTTGCCATGGTTCATTATCTTCCCATAACTTTCTTATTTCCTTAGTAGTAAAAGGCACTATAATTTCTGCTGGGTCTATACCTGCTAGTTGACGAAGTCTCAGTTTACCTTTTATAATTAATTCAGAGACTTTTTCTACATAAGTTTTTAATTTTTTACTTGGTTTATGAGGTATAAATATCCACTCTAAAATAATATCTTCCCTCTACATTAAAATTCCTGTAGGAGAAATTCTGGAAGGCAGTATGACTAGGATGGAACTAAGATTCGGGTTGACCCTATCCACATGTGCCTCCTGTAATTTTTCCTCAATCATTGTCAGTTCCTTTTCTGCTTCAACTGTCAATTTTCTGGTACTATTCAAATCTTTATCACCATCTAAGGTTTTGTTTAAATGAAGTATTAGATCAGGTGTTATTCCAACAGCTGATCGTAGACTGGAAATGTCACCTAAGAATCTTTGGAAGTCATTAAGAGTCCGTAACTGGTCTCTCCTAATTTGTGCCTTTTGCATTCAAATTTTCTCTAACCCTATTCTGTAACCTAGGTAATTAATAGAATCTCCTCTTTGAATCTTTTCAGGGGCAATTTTTAATCCCCACCTAGGCAAGACTTTCTTTACTTCTTCAAACATACTTTCCAAAATATCTTTATTTGAATCACATAATAAAATGTCATCCATGTAATGATAAATTATGGCCTTGGGAAATTGCTTACGAATTATTTCCAATGGCTTATTAACAAAATATTGACACAATGTGGACTATTGAGCATCCCCTGTGGGAGGACAGTCCATTGATATCTCCTAGTAGGCTGAGAATTATTATAAGTAGGCACTGTGAAGGCAAATTTTTCTCTATCCTTTTCTTGCAAAGGTATAGTGAAAAAAACAATCTTTCAAATCAATAACTATAAGAGGCCATCCTCTTGGTAATAGAGAAGGCAAAGGAATTCCAGATTGTAGCAGACCCATAGGTTGAATTACTTTGTTGACAACTCTTAGATCTGTCACCATTCTCCATTTACCAGATTACTTTTTTTACAACAAACACAGGAGAATTCCAAGGGCTGGTTGATTCTTCAATATGGTTAGCATCTAGTTGCTCTTGTACCAGCTGTTCCAAAGCCTGTAATTTATCTTCAGCTAGAGGCCACTGCTTGATCCATATTGGCTTCTCAGTTAGCCATTTTAAAGATAGGGCTGTTGGTACCTCTAAAGGCTTGCTACTGGCTGTATGTTCTTGTACAGCCTGAATAGCTGGTGACCTTTTTCCACAATACCTCATTATATCCTTCCCAGAATTGTGAGGCTGAAGGAGCGGAAGAAGCTCCTGCAGCATCTGGGTTTTTATTATTAAGACCAACTAGAAATTCGGTTGCACCCTCTTGTATCTTTCCCAATAAATCTGTTGTGAGGTTTGTTGTGTGGAGTGATTTTGTGGTGTTCCTTGGCTCCCAACTGCCAGGATGCCCTTTCCTTCGGAGCTGTATCACTTGAACCAGGGAAACATTTTCCCTCAAAGCTGCAACACTTGTATTGGGGAAACATTTCCCCTCAGAGCTGTAACACTTACAGTAACTGGTCAGTGGAAACTCACCCTGCCCCTCGCTGCTCCTGTGACTCAGTGTTAATGCTCAAGCACTACTTCTAACCGCACTGTACTTTTCTATTAGCTCACTGTGCATGCTTCAAAGACCCTTCAAAAGATCGTCCCTCTACCCAGTCCATTGTTGTCTCAGTTTCTGGTCAGAGGCAGCTGCCATTCTGTGTCTCTCTCCTATAAATATCTTGTGTGATGTTTGTTGCATGGTATGACTTTGTGGTATTCCTTTGCTCTTGACTGCCAAAATGCCCTTGTGAGGGAAAACCTTTGTGCTTCTCCTAACACTGAAGAAATATTAAGTATTTGTGGCTAGGCACTGTGATAGGGATGTAAAAGAACAATGTTCCTACTGGAATTTAGAAGAAAACGGAATTATTGGTGTTGAGTTAGGTTAAAAGAAACTTTAAAATAGAGTAGCATGTAATCTCTGAAGGGTCTTATAATTCTAATGCTGGAGGGCCTCATGCAACTTAAGCTTTTTCACACCACTTGTCCTGTTAAATAGCTAGTTTTATGTTATCTGGCTTGAAGTTTATTGAGCATGGCTTCTTCCATAATCAGCAGTTTGCAAAACCAGTAACTGAAACTGTGGGACTTTGATTACTGATTCAAAGAATCTGATCTGAGCACCATTGGCTGTGGGTAGATTATATTCTGAACTGTTGGGAAGATCATAAGATTACTATCTAGCCAGGGATTTTCTGGTAAAGAACAAAGCCATACTTTTGTTCTCTCCTTCTTGTAAGTTAATCCAAATGTGCCTATCAATCACCAGGACAGGAAAACACCCTTGGGAAAACTACCTGTTCTTGAAATTTAGAAAATAGTATACAATCAGGGCTGGAGAGACTGCTCAGGGGTTAAAGCACCGAAAGCTCTTTCAGAGAACCCGAGTTCATTTCCCAGCACCCACATGGCAGCTCACAACTGTCTGTAACTCCATTCCCAGGAGAATCAACACACACATGGTATAGAGACACACGTGTAAGCAGAATACCTATTCACATAAAATAAAAATAAAACTTAAAAACATAAAAGATGAATAGAATACAATCTATATCAACAGGTATGTAAACATAATGATCTCTGGCCATTATCCACTTACTCTTTAGAATATTTCAGGTTATTTTGTAATAAACTGTTTTCTACACATTGCTCTGTGTATCTTATCCATATTCAACAGAGATCCAAGATTTGGCAAGCAAGATCAAGATACAGATAACAGTCTGAATTCAAGGATTAAAAGAGAATCCATTAATATCTGTATCTATTAGTCTCTTAAAATACATTCAGTAACAAACCAATATTTTCATGTAAAACAAGTTTATTTTAGCAATTCCCTTTTACATTATGCATATTTATTTTCTAACAGATTATTTTGGTCTATTTTGCATAGATGGCATATTTGCTAACTCTTATAATTGATTTTTTCATTTGCTGTTTGCTGCTACCTGGTTTGAAGAAGGAGTAGTAAATAAAACACACTTGAGGGAAACATGAAGCAAAATTTAACTTCTCAGCACAACTTTACTTGGATCCAGACTTCAATGTCAGGTTTTCTTCTTCCTTCTCTAATCCTGAGCAGACAAGAGATCTTCCCTTGGGATATCGAGCACAGCACTTACTAAGTTCTTGGATGACAGCCTGACACTTCGATTCCATATAGTTGTTGGCTGAAAAACAGACAACTCTTAGTAATAATATCATAAAACTAAGAAAGTACAAGGTAATTAAGAATTTTCCAACCCTTTTCACTTAGCACCTAGAAGGAAGATATACCCAACTCTATTGAATTCTTTCTGTTTAGGAATCTGTCAACAGGTCAAGAAGGAAAAGGAGAATTTATTAATAATTATCTAAAACTCTAATCGGAAGGAAATCAATTTATAAGTTGTTGAAAGCTATTTTAATATATAATTTGTGTTTTATTCAAGTGTCTTTGGCAGTAGTTTTTGATATTAGTGGCTACTAGTCTCATTTTGTAAATTGATGAATTAGAAAAATGCATACAACCCACATTTTCATAATTTCATAACAAATTGCGGCTTGAATGTAAAGTTTAATTACCCCCCTCTTCTGAAATAAAACTGGAAGATAATGGGTTTTTTTTAGGTTTTGAAAGGGTTATAAAACATAAAGGTAAGGTGACCATGGTTATGTGGTTTACTATGGGTTCTAAGGCTCAGAGTGCCAAGACCAGCACCTGTGGATTGCTTAATACCTGCATCCCTCCACTCCCAGCTCAGAACTCAGTAATGGGTTGGCCTCCATGCTCATTCTCTGAGGCACTGGGAATGCAGTGTGTGGCTAGGACATTTGCCAGTCTCCAAGCTATATAGACTGAGGACCTCAAGTGAGTCCTCACTTAGCTACATATAAACATGAGTTAGTGGCGGTTCAAGCTGGTTGTATATACCCAAAGCTCTTGGAATGGGGAACAACACACCCTTAAGCCATCCAGCCTGATCTATCTTGGAAAAAGTTCTATAATTTGATGAAGATAATATGTATTCTGCTGCTGTTGGATAGTATATTCTGTAAAAGTCTATTAAGTCTATTTGATCTATAGTGCATTTTAACTCGTAGTTTATAAATGCCCATATTAAAAAATAAGATCTTATATAAATACCTAAGAATGTATCTCAAAATTTTAGAAAATAACAAGGGCAAGCCAAACTCAAAATTAATAAATGGAAAGAAAATAAAAATCAAGTAGAAATTTAATAGAGAATACAAAAAATACAAAGAATCAATGAAATAGCTGACTTTTAAAAAAGATAAACAAAATTGAGAAACAAGATAAACTAATCTAAAGAAAGAAGACTCCGACTCAAATTAATAAATTTGAGTGGCATGGAGCTATAATCCTAAAATACTCAGGGGACTGAGGCAGGAGGATCTCAAGTTCAAGACCTACCTGGGCTGTAGAGTGAGTTCAAGGCTAGATAGGTTAACTTCAAAATTTAAAACATAACAAGAGACTTGAGAGTATAACTGATTGGCAGAATGTTTGCACAAGGCCCCAGGTTCAATTTCCAGTACAACAACAGCAGCAGCAGCAGCAGCAATAATAATAATAATAATAATAATAATAATAATAATAGGAGACAAAAGGAATATTACACTAGAAACAACTGAAATAACTTGAAAAATAATGTCAATAATTCAGAAAGTCTAAGAAAATGGACAAATTTCTGTATATATGGCCTATCAAAATTGAACCCCCAAAATGAAAAATCTAAATAAATCAATAGCAAGCAATGAGACTGAAAGTATAATTAAAAAATTTTCCATCAAAGAAAAGCACAAACCCTGTCATGTTTGTGGTAGTGGGGATTGAATTTAGGACTTTGCACATGCTATACAGATGCTCTATAACCATTATTTTAAAAACAAAAACAAAAGCAAAAAACTAACACCAATGGTCCTTAGACTATACCATAAAGTAGAAGGAGAATGAATGGAGCCGGAGAGATAGCTCACCAGTTAAGAGCAAGAGCACTGACTGCTCTTCCAGAGGTCCTGAGTTCAATTCCCAGCAACCACATGGTGGCTCACAACCATCTGGTGCCCTCTTCTGGCATGCAGGCAGACATGGAAGAATGTTGTATACATAATAAATAAATAAATATTTTTAAAAAAGAGCATTGGCTGCTATTCTAGAGAACCTGGGTTTGATGCATAGCACCCATATGATGGCTTTCAACTGTCTGCAGCTTCAGTTCTAGAAGATCCAAAACCCTCTTTTGGCTTCTATGGGCACCAGACACACATGCAATGCACAGACATATGCGCAGCCAAAATACCATATACAAGAAAAGTAAAATAAAGAGAAAAAGACCTTGAGTAGCCAAAGCAGTCTTAAGCAAAATTAATGGACTACAACAGAGGACCCAAAAGTAAACCACACAACCACAGCCACCTGAGTTTTGAAACAGATACCCTAAGCTTATTGGAGTAGGTATGGCTGGAGATCAAACTGAGGATCACATGAATACTAGGCAATTAGTCCTCCATTGAGCTAATTCCTAGTCCCCGAAGTCTAGCCTTAAAACATGTCTATATATGTATATATGTATTTTTGAGTTTTTGAGATAGGCTGTCACTTTGCAGCTCAGGCTAGCCTTGAACTTGTTATTCTCCTGCTTCTGCTTCCAAGGTATTGAGATTATAAGTATGCACTATTATCCTTGGTTCTTTCTGTTTATGTATACAAACAGTGTTCATGATGGAAACAAGTGCCTAGTGCATTCTGGGCATGCACTCTATCCCTGAGCCATATCTTCAACTCCAAACCAGTGTTTTATTTATAGAAGGATTTTGCTTAGCTCAGGTTGTGCATTAAAATCACTTGGTTAGTTTTGTAAAATGATTCCTGCTCAGACCCTACCTCTAGGAAGTTTGCTTTACATGTGCTAAACAAGTTTTAAAGTTTTCCAGGTACATTGGGGAGGCAGAGGTAGGTGAATCTGAGTTTGCAGCCAGTCTGGTCTATAAAATGAGTTTCAGGGCAGCCAGGGATATTACACAGAAAAACCTTGCCTCAAAAAACAAAACAAAGGGGGCTGAAGAGATGGCTCAGTGGTTAAGAGCATTGCCTGCTCTTTCAAAGGTCCTGAGTTCAATTCCCAGCAACCACATTGTGGCTCACAACCATCTGTAATGAGGTCTGGTGCCCTCTTCTGGTCTGCAGACAGAATACTGTATACATAATAAGTAAATAAATAAATATTTTTTAAAAAACAAGAACAAAAAAGTTAGGTAATTCTAATGTACAATGGGACTCAAGAACCCATAGCTTAAATGACATCACTTTTTTTGTGTGTGTGGTGCTAAGGATAGAACTCTTGGGGCTTTGCACATGTTAGGTAAGTGCTCTACCACTGAAGACAGTCTCCCATTCCCAACAAAGCATCACTTTTAATATTCTAAAGATTTCATAATACGATGAAGAAAATATTCACGATTAATTATAGAAATGTTACATTTAAAGCTAATGAAAGCTGCCGATAACATAATTAGTTTCTTATAGCTAGTTGACAGGTAAAGTTTAAAAAAATTATTTAAAAAAATCTATATCCTACCTTGTAAACATTTCTGTATTTCACAGGCTTGTTTCTGGCATGGATCCTTTTGTGGCATATCCAGAAAACTAAAACAAAAAAATATTATTACAACTTTGCTTTTTTAATAATAAAGATTTTAAAGTCTATCTACATGGAATTTTCTTCTAGAACAAATAGTATGACCTTACAATTGTTGGAAAAATGATTGCACTAAAAATACTCTTTCTTAATTAATAGGATAAATCAACTATATTTTTGTATTTCCATCTCATTAAGAACAGAAGATACAGACATGAAAAAAATCAGTCTAGTCATCTCGAATATTGTAAACAAATGTTGGAATGACACCACAGTTTTAAAGGTCTACCCTAATGCCTGGTTATATGATTCACAAAAGAAACCCTTGGTAAATGATTAAACTTCTTGAATACCTTTCTTTCACTATTCATGGCAATAAGAATTATACGTACCTCAAAGAACTGACAGAATGACTAAACATGATAAAATATATAAAGTGCACAGAAGAGTAACTGGAAAGCAATAAGTACTCAATACACAGGAGCTATTATAACCAAGTGATTTTTGTTTAAGACATGGCCTCATTATGTTTCTTAGACTGACATTAAACTCCTGGGGTCAAATGATCCTCCTGCCTCAGTCTTCCAAATAGCTGCGATTACAGGCATGCACCACTGTTCTGGGCCCAAGACTTATTTTAAAAAGCAAAATCTTACTTTAATGTACATAAACTGTCATGACTGCTTTAATTCAGGAAATTCTTTACAAGTAAAACAAACACTTTCCCAGGAATTAGTAATGTTAGTTGCTATTACCTCTTAAGAAAAGTGCCAATAAAAGGTAACATCATATTTTGAGCTCAAATGGAAGCCAACTAAGTAAAATATTTGTAATCAAAGAATTTAGATTCACAGGATTTTGATGAGAATCTTGTAAAAGCAATTCAAAGACACAGTTTCAGAAAGAAGAAAGGCATAGGAGCCTTTGAAACTAATTTCATCAGTACAAATAATCTTTTTCTCCCAAAACTCCTCAAGTTTTCAGTATATCCAAATTATGTCAGTACTGGGATGGGAAACACTAGAATAAAACCTTAGGTATTTACAGGATGGAAGAAAAGGTGGGTGAATTTGCTGCAAGGGAAATAAGTGACAAATACATGTTGATGCTGCTAGAAGCTGCTCTCTTCTCTCTAAATCAGTACCAAGTCCTTGTTGATGAGGGCATTTGTTCTGCAGCATGTGCTGATTTTTCTGGGATTCACCAAATCCCAGGTTCAGCTGATGAAGTCCATTAAAGGTTCTATGGCAATTTTCAAAGGAGTCATTTCAAGTTACATTTCCTGACTAAATGCTTTTGTTGGCTTGATTTCTGCCCTGTGTAACCCTCTCTCTGTAGTTTCACTGGCAGTGTTCTTCATGACCCTTCCTAAACATCTGCAGTTTTCAAACTACTCCCTCCCCACTGGGACTCAAGGGTGGGAGCACCGCAGTGGTGAATGATGTGATTGCCATATAATGAATAGAACAGAGGAGCATATCTTCTTAGAATTCCAGCACCTGAAAAAAAAAATCATTCAAATCACTACAACTGAATAGAGTGAAAAGAAAGAAAGGGAAGAAGGAGAAAAAAAATAGAAATACATACCAGGTTAATCATCAGGCAAAAGTTTAAGCAGTAGTTCCTGTACTCCCCTGACCTGTCAGAAAAGGGAAAGTTTATAAAGTACTCTGTTGTAAGATCTTCAGGACAAAGGAAAATTATTGAGCAAAATGTGTACCATTAAATGATGCTGAATCTGCCACAAGCGAGAGTTGTTATCCATATAGCGCTCCTCTGGGTAGAGCTGCCACATGAGAGGTAGTTGGGAAGTAAGAAGGTGACTTGGCCGAGTTGCATCACCTAAAGGAACCTGAACTTGCTGAACTCGAGCCTTTAGGAAACTTGTCTCCTAATAGGAATGATCAAAAATAAAACCAAAGACATGAGAATACTGAGACTAGATAGAAACCAGGTTATTTGAAAGCAAAAAGCAAATAAATAAATAAATTTTAAACGAAAGCAGTTACCTCTTCCACCACAGCTACCCATGTGCGTTGATATTCGTCGCGGTAGATACCTTCTTGATGAACCCAGAGATGATCGGGTGGAGCCCCCACATCCTCTCTTGCCATTCTGGGCTTTGGGTTCCAATTCTAGCCCTGCTTTTCTCCACCTAAGCCTGCAGCATCCGCGCACAGGACAGAGGTGTGACTTTTGAGGTTGGGATGAACTCACTAGTGAGCAAGGTGACCTGGGACTAGCAACCCAAACAGAACCAAGCCTCATACATATCTATTTGTACAACCTAAACATATCAAATGCCATCTTAAGCTTTCTGAAAAAGAAACTCAAGTAACACACAGGCAAAGCCTAGGTAATCCTAACTTTCTATGGCAAAACATTCAAGAATTCCAAGTTTGTTCTGTGGGAAGATGAGAACTACAGGAGGCTGGACACAAGTTTCTCTCTCATCTACATCTACAAAGCAGTATTCATCGGTAGTGTGTTAACAATAGAAAATGTGCAAAAGCGTACCTAAGGACACATGATTTTGGCAGAAAAGTAGTGAAACAGACATATGCATCCCATATTCTTCAGATAAAAGCCACTCCTCAACAGCTTACATTTTAAAAAAGATTCTTAATAATGTATATGGCTTTCTAAAATGAGACTAAGTTTGTCATAAGGGGAAAGGAAATATCTGTCATTTTATTTAAAAAGTTATTTATACTAGTGAGGCTTATCAGAAAGGGATTTTCATTTTAGGAAAAATATTTAGTGTAGTTTCATGACTTTCTGAAAGCAAATAATAGCCATCCATCTAGCTCCCTATTTCACTTAAGCAGGATGTCACAGAAGCCTGTTTTTCAACAGAGGCATAGTTGTAAAATTTTTATTCTAAAAACTAGAAGATTAAAAAAATATTTCTCTGCTCTTCACGAGATGTAAATAAAGTACTGGTCTCAGAGTCTGGGGTAGCAAGGAAACTCTCAACAGTTCTATGCCCAGCTTTGGAGCTCATAACTTCACATGTATTTTCATTAGTAGAATCTTGTGGAAGCCACTCATAGCATCATGATGCAGATTCATTGTATTTCTACTTATTGCAGAGCACAGATACATCAGTGGGTATCTGTCCCACAATAAAGACCCCCTCATTCTTAATAAGTAGCTATTAGTGGGAAAGGAAATAAGACATAGTTTCGGAGATAGTTAGGGCCTTCAAAGTGATACTGTCCAGAGCACAAGTGGAATGAGAAGAAGCCAAAAACAAAGGAATGACGCTAAACCTAGTTAGTCCTTTTTTCAAGGACACCATCCTGAATATGATTCCCCCAACACTGTTTTTCTGCTTATCCCCTAAAAGAAAAGTAGGTATAAAAACTACTGTCTCAAAACGGGTATGTGGTGCATGTCTGTAATCCTAGCATGCCAAAGGCTGAAGAATGTTCAGGCCATCTTGGGCTATGTATCTATAGTAAGTTTGAGGCCAACTAGTATACATAACTTAGCTCTAGGTTAACTACATAAGGAGACCCTGTCTCAAAGAGAGAGAGAGAGAGAGAGAGAGAGAGAGAGAGAGAGAGAGAGAGAGAGAGAGA